CACCTTTTCCTATATGTAGTACCTGTTTTTAGTTGATTAGTACCTACTTTTGTCATTGATAATTAATTATTTCAACTGTGGTCAACATTTTAAAAAAGTGGTACCAGTCATAGAGTTAGTCAGTACCACTTTTTGGTAGATTAGTACCACATTTCTGGTCTTTTGTACCACTTGTAGTGAACACATAGAAACAACGCATATTGGTCGAAAACTATGTTCATACGACCCATAATCACTCTCAAATTAGTTTATATGACATTGAAAATTTGTTTAATTAAGTTTAATCGTAAATTGGTCACGAACTCAACGCATTAATGGAAAAACAATGCTTAATACACTTTTGCTACCTGTTTTTCTTGAATTAGTACCTGTTATTCTTATACGCAATACCTGAAATTGAAAATGTTTTCGTTCAAACCATAGCGCCGCTAAGGTGGTTAGCGGCGCTAACCTAGAAAGCCTCCCAGCCTCTGCTCATCGCTAAGAAAAGGTAGCGGCGCTAACATCCTAGCCTTAGCGCCGCTAAGATGGGTTAGCGCCGCTAACACCTGGGCAGCACTCATTTTTGCCCCTTAGTAAAAATTAACCAAATTTTTATAAGTTGTACTGCAGACCCGATATCCGGTACTATAACGACACAAAACAGGTACTGCTTTACTATATGACATGTACTAATTTTGAAAATGAGAGAATTTGAAGTAATCCTTTTTTCGTTCTTTCTACAAGGGAAGTATTAATTGATCAATAACTGGTACTTAATAGAATAATAAATGGTACTAATTCAGAAATAACTGGTACAAATTGATCAAAAGACATCATCCGACAAAAAAAAAGTACAATTGACCAAATGCAAAATACACCTAGGCAAAAACAAAATACACTTGGGCACAAAAAAAAATATACACATGCCCAAAGAACAAAATGCATGAGTGATCTATATACGTTCTTTGCACGTACGTCGATTGTGTCCACGACGACCACAACGCTTACACCGCCTAACTGCAACATCAACTTGTGAAGGAATTCTTTTTTCCC